AATATTATGTAATTACATATTTGAACTAAGAATTTTTTGGCAAGGAAAACAACAAATCTTTTCAGCCTTGATTTTTTAAAGTCTATTTCTTATGTTCTAATAAGAAAAGTGATACCAAGTACCTGCTTGATTATTCTAAAAAGTGATACCAAGTACCTGCTCTGTAGACCAATAGAAAAATGACAAAACTTAAACAAGTACCATTTTCAATGGATCATTACTCAGTAAAAAATTAAAATATGCAAAAATTACAACTACCACCATATCACGCATATACTTCCTTCACCCAGACACTGCATGTGTAAAGTGGAAAGAAAAATTATATTGCATTCATGTTTGATTCCATTTTAAATCTTTCCATGGACTTGAAAAGAAACAGAATCCCTGAAGGCTTTCACACATTGCATACACTCACAAGCTTTTTCTCTAGTGAATACATTAATAAAGGGGAAAAGAACTAGAGTGAGCCAGGGCTTTAACACATAGATTAAGGTCATAGTTGTTTTTTTTTTTTTAATTTTTTATTTTAAAGAGTAAAAGAAGGATAACGTAATAATAGGAGGGGCTTACCAAATTACAGACAAAGTGGTAGGAAATTATCAATGGTTACTGTTTTACATATTGTTATCTACAAGACAGTTTCTCAGGAAAACAAATAGACAAATAATAGTGAGTTACAGACAAAAGGGGTAGGAGATTATCAATAGTTGTACTATACTTTGATATCTTCAAAGTGGCTTCTAAAGAAAATAAATAGAGCTATAGATGATTGACCAATTGAATAATCATTAACTATTCACAGTAGTTGTAGGAAACACATAATAATAAACATACATCCATTTATGAAATAGGATAGGAACAATACAAACATTACAGAGTTATGGATAGATTAGTAGGAAAATATCAATAGCTGCTGTAATACTTGATGGTATCTTCAAAGTGGTTCTCAGGAAGACAGAGATACGCAAGAAGGATCTAACAAGTAGTTATAGCCTAAGGGTTGTGAAAAATAGTGTATTACCTCCTCACCAGTGACTTCTTTCACTGAGGTGTGATGGCTGGAAGAAAGGCCAGGATTGCAAAGGTCCGAGAGACTTGCACCTGTGTTTGGCAACAGGCTATTTTCTTGTTCCTCCATAGTCATGATTACCTGGGGCTCCTCCATGGAGATGACAGTCTAACCAGAGGGAGAAAGCAGAGTATGCCCCGGGCCCCCACATTCCTGTTGGACTAACTGATAGGATAGGTCTGAGCTTTGGGGCCTCCACTTCAGAGGGCAGACCGATCTCCAGTGGTCATCTTTGCACTCAGAGCATGGCCCAGGGGGCCTCTTAGGGCAGTTCCTCTTGAGGTGGCCTGGCTTTTAACAGTGGTAGCAGATGAATGCAGTCATAGAGTTCTTCTTTGGGCCCCAGGAATCAGACTTTGGGTCTGTTTCTCTTAGTGCTGCAGCAAAAGCAGCTGCTAAGGTCATAGTTTTTATCCAGTGTGAATCCATTTGTGGACTTAAGAAGAACAAGAACCCCTGAAGGCTTTCCCACACTCTTTTCCACATTCTTACCATACTGATTATACTGTGTGAGTTTCTCTCCAGTGTGAATTATTTCATGGACTTGATAAGGTCCAAAATTCCTGAAAGCTTTTCTGTATTCATAGGGTTTCTCTCTAGTGTGAATCCTTTTCTGAACTTTGAAAGAACTAGGGTCATTAAAGAAGTTCCACACCTGCCTAGTGTGATTGATTCCCAGGATCTCAGGATCTGGATCTCAGGATCAGGATTCAGCAGATCCTGAGATCTTCTGGGAGGGATCCAGCAGGTCCTGAGATTGATTCCCACTACCAAAAAAAAAAAAAAAAGATTTCAAGGAGTTCCCATATTCTTTACATACAGTTTCTCTCTTATATGAATCCTGCCATGTATTCTAAAGGGCCTAGAATGTGTGAAAACTTTTCCACAATGTTTACCATTATAGGGTTTCTATGTGAAATTTCCTGTGTGAATCTTACTAAGGGCTTAAAAATGACCAGAATGTGCAAAGGCTTTTTCCACATTCTTCATATTCAAGGGGCTTCTCTCCAGTGTGAATCCTTCATGAACTTTAAAAGAACCAGGGTTACTGAAGAATTTCTGACATTCTTTACAAAGATATGGTTTCTCTCCAGTGTGAATAACTGTTTTATGTCTTCAAATGGTCCTAGCATGCGTGGAAGCTTTTCTACAGTTTTGACAATAATATGGCTTCTCTGCAGTGTGAGTCCTTTCATGTGATAGAAATGAACTGGAACTGAAAAAGTCCATTCCACACATCTAACATTTATAAGGTCATTCTCTAATATGCAGTGTCATGTGTCTTATGTGATTTTTAAAAGAAATGATTGGTTTTCTACATTCATTACAGTGGTATGTTTTCTCTGTCATGTGATTCCTTTCATGCTTTTGAAAGCAGTGGTGATAACAGGACCTAACTACCTTGCTTATAGGTATATGATTTCTCTTCATATTTCTGATTCTCATATGGTTTGTATCCAGTGTAACTATGCACCTATTAAGAGATAAGTGACACATGGAGAGTATTCCAGAAAACTTACCCTCATATGGTTTTACTGCAGTAGGAATCTTCTTACTAAGACTAACATTTGAAAAGAATAACAAAGCTCTTTACTTTCACAGGCTTCCTGTACATTATTATTCATCAATTAACCATGTTTCCCAGTCAATGAGGCAGGTTTCATGTGTCTGTAGTCCCACCTACTCAGGAGGCTGAGGTGAGAGGGTCCCCTGAACTAAGACATTTGAGATCATCCAGGGAAACCCAAGACCCCATCTTAAATTTTCTTCCTTGTTTCTATATCAACCTTCCAAATTATTGTCTTCCAACTTTCTTTTAAGAAAAATCAAGCTTAAAAAAATTTCTTACATCAATCTCTATGAAGTTTCTTCTAGGAGGGATCCAGCAGAGCTTACTCCTCTTCAGTGAAGTCCACAAATATATCCTCCAAGATCACTGAGTCCTTTTCCAGTTTTCAAGTAAATTTTTCAAGATTCTTAACATAAACACAGCTTCACATCTGCAGAGACTTTGTTTTTTCTTGTAAGGCAGTTCACCGATTCAGGAATTAGCACAGAGATCTCTTTTAGGAAGCCATTTTCAGCCTATACCAGGTTATACCAGGCCTCTCCATAGTTCCCACGGTCAGTGAAGGTCACAGTTGCACTGCTAGAGGTACCCAAAGTTCTTATGGTAGAGGGAGACACATTAGCAATATCATTTGGTCAGATTGTGATCTCCATGAATTGTGATGAGCAATACACCACAATCTGTTAATTCTTAAAAAGCAACAGTTGTTTTCCCTGTGGAGAAATGCTTATAAGGTAGCATCCTACAAAATTTATCCATGATTGAATGAAGAAAGGAGATAGAATGAAGGAGGCAGAGATATCCAGCAACAACTGATATCTGCCGGGTGTGCATATTTTTTAGAGCCAAAGGGACTTGGGCTTGGCATATTTGTGATAATTACATCTAAATGCATCGACTTGATTAGCTTAGGAACTGCCTAAAGGATTGGTGCAGCATATTTTCAGGGTATCTGGGTGGGTCGTGAAGGTGTGACTTTGAGTACTGTGTCTGGTCCCTTGTCCTTCCCTCTCTGGCACTGTTCTCCTGCTCTGCTCCCTGGCTGCCATGAACTAAGCAGCTTTGTTCCACCATGATGTTCCTGCCTTGGCACCAGTCAACCGTGTACTAAGTCCCCTTAGTATCACCCCTTAGAATCACGAGCTAAATGGAACCTCTTCTCTATGTTATAAGTGTTGGGTACTGTGTCAATACCAACAAGCAATAAGCAATAAAAAAAGCTGGCTAATACAGATGTTTGTCTTTTTTAAAAGCGTAAGTGTTAGAAATAAAGACTGGCTTAGAAATTCTTCCATATAAATTTTTTAGGGCTTTCTAGATAGATGAAAGTGTTCAGTTTTACATGAAGAAATTTTGTTCAGAGGAATATGGGATGGGACAATCCAGCTTGGAAAAGAGAAGGGGACATTGTGTAGATGAGAACTGAATCTGTCTTTGCGAGGAAACCCCAGAGATATTTCTTTGACCTACAAGAGAACAGAGTTCATGAATCATACCTGGATTACTTCAGTAATGGGAAACATATACATCTGTATAAAGAAGGTTCTGCCTTCCATGGAGTAAATAGTAGCTTTGTTCCATAGAGTACTGTCTGCCATGATGTCTTCCTTGCCACAGGCCCAAAGCCATGGTACAGGCAGCTATGCACTGAAACCTCTGAAACCATGAGCCAAACTAAACCTTTCCTCCTTTTGTTTATGTCAAGTAATCTGTCACATCATCACAAACTAATACATATAAAGAGGGAAGGCTTATTTGGGCTCATGTGGTCAGTTGGCCCTGTTGGTTTGGACATGTGATGGTACAACATGTGGTAGAGGAGGCCTGCTGCTCTCTTTGTGGCAACTGGGAAGTAAAGAGAAAGAAGAGTAGCCCAGATCCCAATATCTACTTTGGAGACATTTGCTGGAGCATCCCATCAGACCTAGTAGCTAACCCCTAGCAAGAAGTCATCTCAGAACTTTTTATAACTCCTGCTGCTCTGCAGTGGGCCGTGCCCTAGAAAGTTTCCTGGGTCCTCCATAAAAGGTAATGGATGAGACAGAGGATAGGCCCATTCTCTGTCTGGCGTTCTTGCACCCATATTGTACTCATCTGTACAAATGGGGATAGAATACATAACTCATAGGATTGGGGGCAGGGTCTGGCACAGAGTCAAGTATCAATAACATTTGAGAACTCTGAATTCGCCACTGGAGAGGTGACATTGTTCTGGGTATCCCTGCCCTCCCTGGTCTGTGTGTCACCCTTTGCTGAAATCTGCAACTCTGAATTTTGGGCATTTAGAGAAATAAAAGCCAACTGAATTCCCGCTGTGATGCCATTCATGATGTTCTCCCCTTTCTATACTTTCTTTTCCAGATGGTAACAAGAAAAAATCCAGATGGGGTGCAAGTGCTGTAAAATGATACAAAGGTAAAGCTGAACAAAGCCTTCATCCAAACTGAGGAATCTGTGATTTTTAAGTCACTTTTAAGGACCACGGATATAGCAGCAGTTCAAAAGTAATAAGAATATCATCAAAACATGTTATATACATGTATGAAAATACCCTGTTGAAATCCAATATTTTATAAAATTAACAGGCACTAACAATGTATTAAAATAATAATAATGATGATAACAAGGGCCAAGAGTGCATTCAGTGCATTTATTTGGCCTGGTGCTCAGTCAGTGCTGCTGTTCATTAAGCATCTGGCGTAATTTTTATGTCAGAGGACGTGTGACCTAGATTTGTGAACTTTTGCTTACGGTGCTGAGAATGGGGAGAACGCTGTCATTCTCTGAGACTAGGTTTGGTTTGGATCAAATATCCATTTCCCCAAAGAGCGTCCATGGAAAGAAGAGCCTGGTTTTCAGAGGACGCCTCAAACTGGACCAGTGAAAATACCGCCCACCCCACCCCGACCCCCGTCACATCTGTACTGTTAGTTCCGTCTGAATTACATTTCAGAAAAACGTAAGACGAATCGTAAAACAAAGGAAGTAAGTTAACTGATGATCTTGCTTCCTTAACAAGCACTCCAGACATAGGCATCTATGTTTTACTCTACCATCCTCATGGGATGTTTGGCTTTACTCAGAAAATATTTATTATGTCAGGCATGCCGATGTGTACCCGTAATACCAGCACTGGAGAGGCTAAAGCAGGAGGATTTCTATCAATTGAGACCAGTCTGGGCTACACAAGTTCACAGCCAGCCCATAATCCATAGTGAGACCCTGTCTCAAGAACAAAACAAAAAAAGAAAATATTTATTATAAGTATAATCAATCCCCTATAACCATGGGTACCAAATTCATAGAACCAATCACAGACAGATCAAAAATATTCTGAAAAAAATTACATCTGTACTGAACACATACAGACTTGGTTTTTGTTCGTTTGTTTGTTTGTCTTTTTGAGACAGAGTCTCACTATGCAGTTCAGGCTGGCCTTGAGCTATGTAGCCCAGGTTGGTCTCGAACTCCTGCCTCAGCCTCCCAAGTGCTAGGATTACAGGCATGTGTCACCACACCTGGCCAGACTTGTGTCTTTTTATTTCTCCCTAAGTAATACAAAGTGGTAAGTTTTTACATAGCATTTACATTGTAATGCAGAAATGATTGAAGCATAAGGGAAAATATGCATAGGTTATATGTACATGCTGCTCCGTTTTCTGCAGACAATTTGAGCATGTACAGACTTTGATGTCTGAAAGGCCCTAGAGGCAGTTCCCCACAGATACAGAGGGACAACTTTTTATGCTACTACAGATTTCACACTTACCGTTTTAATGACTGCGTAATATTCGGTTGCAGAGATGTATTTAATCCCTTCTCTCCCTCTTAGAGGACATTTGCTTCCCTTTTTTATCTTAAACTTTCATTAACCACCTTGTACTTTTCCCTTCCCCTCCTTTTGGAATTCTTCTTAAGCTCTCTTTCCAGTGGCGGTACATTTTTTACACCAAAAATTTAGACGCACAGAGGTTTAAAAAAGTAATTCCAGGCACCCGTGCGCACTCTCGCTCCGCCAGCGTGATGCAAAACTGATTGATTTCCACTCCTCTCACCCCCAGCTACCTCTTTGACGCAGCCCAAGCACCGTCCCCTGACTATGTCAACGAAGTAAGCAGCTACAAGCTGGATGAAGAGCACACTGTTAAGTTAAAAGGCAGTCGGAGCAGCGAGGTTTTGGTGCATAAAAACGCCCTCTGGAGTGAGGGCGTGGGGAAGACTGAAAGCAGAGGCCTGGAGGCTGGCCCACAGGAGCCCTGCGGGTCCCGCCGAGGATCCCTCCCTCAGGGGGACCCGGGAGGGGGGCTCTGCGCCAAGCCCGGAAGCACCGCCAACGGCATCGGCCCCGGTGCCTCTCCGCAACCCTCTGGGAACCCCCAGCCTCACCCGGAGGACACGGGCTCTTGGGCGGGCACTGCAGACAGTGCTCACCCAGCTCAGCCCTTCCTTGAAGGCAGGGACACGGGGAGCCAGGACTGTGTGCTGCCCTCCTCGGGAGAGACTCCAGCCGTGGACAGAGGAGACTGCACGGCTCCTGATGCTGCAGAGAGTCCAGTCTTGGAGGAACAAGCCCATGTCCTCCAGCTGCCAGTCCCGGATTACCCTCAGCTGTGGGACCCTGCTGCGGACAGCGAGGAGCAAGAAGAAAAGGACTGTCTTTTTGAGACTCATGCAGAGGATGAGCCTCTGGCAGAAATTCACCCCAGAGTGGGCGAGTATGAACTGAATATTCCCTTCCCCCTGAAAAGGAGCTGGGAGTCCTTAAATGAGGCTGTAGCAACCGAGGTTCTAAGTATCTGCTTTAGCGAGAAGGGTCCGGCTCATGCCATGCCAGTAGCTGATTCCAGAACCAAGCGGACGGATACCCAGGGCTCCCAGGGAGACAGCGAGGAGGAGGTGGGGGACGAGGATGAGGCAGTGGCGGAAGCCCTTGCAGCGTTAGAAGCGGCTACTGCAGGAGAAGATGTGGATGAGGCAGATTAGAAGGCAGAATTGGTGTGGGCAGGTGAGCCAGTGCCATGCTGAGCAAGGGGAAATGCCTTTGCTCCTTGGGCCACAACTGATCATTTGCCAGCACGCTCTGGTGTGACTCAGGGGTTGTGGTTGTTTACCTCCAGCATCTGTTCTGAGGGTGAGTGCCTGGGCTGCGCTGCTTGCTAAATAGTTGTGGAATCACTGTGTGAACGGGCCCTCATTCAGGACACCAGGATAAAGACCAGAGTGAGCAGCTGTGTTCCCGTAGAAATTGAGCACTTGGCTTGCCAATGGTCACAGCCCTTGGGAACATCTGGTACAGATGTTGTGAGAATGCTGTGACATCCCCGCTCCTAGTCCCAAGGGCATATAATCCCTGAGCATCCTGTTGGACTGTAAATTCTTTACCTTGCTTGTGAGAGCCAAATGTCCCCAACCTAGAAAAGGGAACTACCCCTTCAAAGTGCCTAACGCGTTCAGGGGCAATTACCCAGGGAATTAATAACTAACCACTTGTTGGACACAAGTTAGGTTGAGCAGCTTTCAGGAGGAGCGGAAGTGACCAGTAAACAAATGGTTAGTCTTTTGGTAAAGCACCTCGACCTTAACATTTTTTACATTGTGACTTTTGAAAAATCTCCTTTGAGATTGGGGAGAGTGGGCAAAATAATTCTTAAAACTTCTTGTGTCATATTTTGGCTTTAAGTTCATGGGTCTTTGGAATAGCAAAACTATATATGGAGTGTTTGAAGCCATTAAATATCTGATCTTAATTAAAATATAACAACTCCCTTGTCTCTCTGTATGGACTTAGAGGTGGTTCTGACATAGCTCCTTGTAGAACTGAGAAGAGTTAAGATGGTAAAAATTGTGGAGAAAAAAGATAGACATGCCAGACATTTTCGTTTGGTATTTTGCAGCCTAAGCCCTAAAATTTAACTGACTTTCGGCAATTAATTCATCTTTTCTCATTGCCTATTAAGTGAAAGCCTGATATGTACTGTAAACATTTACACACTTGCCTGGTACACAGTAGGTGCTCAGAAATGATGCCTTTTTTTTTTTTCTTTTCTTTTTTTTTTGTCTTTGTGAGACAGTATCTCACTATGCAGTTCAGGCTGGCCTTGAGCTCACTTTGTACCCAGGCTAGTCTCAAACTCACAACAATCCTCCTGCCTCAGCCTCCCGAGTGCTGGGATTATAGGCATGTGCTACTATGCCTAGCCAGAAATGATGTCTTATTGATTAAATTCTTCAGTGTTTTTTACATCCTCACAACTGAAAATTCTAATACTGTGGTGTGTTTATAATGTTATCACTTCATTTTAGTAATTATTCAGCATAAAACATAATTTTTAAGCCTTGCAGCATCTTGAAGGCTGGCGCTTTTACAGATGCTTTATAAAGCATTCACACCCTGGAGTTGCTTGGTATTGCAATGGCAAACCATCTCCATGTACCTGCTTTTCTGGAACCCTTAAAGTACAAACTATAGGCCTTATTAATTGCATTATATGTGTGTTTGACATTGGTTTTGGTACACCAAACAATTACTACTTCAGATTATGCATTGTTTCACACAGTTTCCCAAGTTTGTCAGTTGGGATTATGTTCAGCCGCAGGTGGTAAATGGAAGTCTGTGCACCTACCTCTAGGAGGAGCGGCCTGAGCTAGGGGAGCAGTTTGTGTACATGTGACCTCCGTGTTCCTTCTGTCACGGTAGCTTCCCTTTAGTTCCTCCTGGTTCCATCTGACCATGCCTGTGGTTTCCTCATGTGAAAATAGGCTTAAGTTCCAGGCATTACATTTGCTTTTCATGTGGGAAAAAGAAAGGATCAAAAACCCTCCTCTATTATGGACTTCCCAGATGTATAATTCACCCCTTCCACTTCCACTTCACTGGTCAACATCTGGACATTTGGCCACATCAGCTGCAAAAGAGATTAGGAAAAGCTGTCATTCTGTGTGTGGGACTTTCACAAATGCATGTGGGATGTAGTTTCTGAGAAGAGGGAAAACGGATGTTGAGACTTTTGTCGGGGGCGTTAGTTGATTGGTTGGTTGGGATCTTGAGTTGTTCAGTTTATACACTAGACCCTCAAAGCCCAAAGGCCTGGAACAGAGCTGGTTTACAAGAGGTTGAAAGACTTTACTCATATTGAGTATGACACAAAAGTAGCTTAAGACCTCAACTCTGAGGAAGAAGGACTGGACAGCTCCTGCCATCCCAGCTTTCTTCTGATATCTCCAAAACAGATGCGAGAAGAACATTCAGATAAGTGAGGTATTGGTGCAAATGAAGCATTCCCTTTCCAGAAACACCCTTTGCGTGGCACACGCATGTCATTTTACATGTGAGAGCTGCTGCAAAGTTCGCCATAGCTGACAGCTCTGTCAAGTTGTGAAGATTCTGTTTTGCAGGTAACTAACTGCTTCAGGAGGTTAACAGCTAGCCACAAATTTCAATCCTTTTTTCACAAAGATCACCTCTTTCATCTTTATCCCAATATTCAAGCTTTACCAGACAACCTCAGAGGAAAGAAAAGTCAGAATCTTTAGTTGAAAAGAAATTCCAGAGTGCAGCTCTATCTAGCAAGTGGTCTAACCGCTGAGCATCCCACTGCGTGGGATCTTCTTTTGTAGCCTGGTGCCACCTCTTATCAGAAAGGTGGTACTGAAGATGAAGGAAGCTTTTCAGACACCCTGGACATTTAAAGACACAGATGCATTCTGATTGTGAGGCACTAACTATAATTAGGCACAGACCTCACACTTCTCCACAATTCTTAGCCAGTTACATTGCATGTGGAACCTTAACTTTGATTTAAGATTATTTTATTTCTATATTGTAAATAGAGCACAGTTTTAAAATGCATATAAATTTCTTTTTTACTATAAAATAGAAAATGAAATGTTTTTCCTTGGCTGCCAAGGCAGATAGTAGCGAATTGTTACAACTCAAAAATTGGATCCCTAAAAGTGTGAAGAGAATTTTAGGTTTCTGTATGTACTGTTGTACATACCCATTTTTCCATGTGGTGAGTGTTGGCCATTAGTCATTTCCCTTTCTGCCCCACTCTGCCTGTCTGCCTTTTCTGTTCTCTTCCTACCTCTCCCGTAGTACCGCCAAGCCCGAGACCCTGGGAAGAAGGAAGAGTGAGATGCCAGAAGCAGGGATGTGAGCCAAGATCTGCGGGCTCCCCTGGTTTGGTCATCTGGTCACAGCCACCAGCAGGTGGGACGAACAACCTCCTACAACCCAGCACCTTCCTCCAATCTTGAACTTGGACTTGACATCTCACCAGAGGGTATTTGCACAACCAGTCTTTATGATGGAAATGGGGGAATTCTTGCTTTCTTCTTTTGTTTTGGCTTCTTTCTCTAGATCCACTCTCCTTCATTTAAAATTTTTGATTTTTGGAGATGGTGTCACTTAAACACAGACAAGATGACATTTGTATCTCATGGATGTATTCCCTGATAATTTATGAAAAAATAAGTAGCAAAATGTGCAAGTTTCTCCAGGGTGCCAGGTCCTGGCAGACACACCCAGCAGTCTGCTAGCCAGGGAAGAGCCCCAGCCACCAGATGAAGCCAGGTTGCTGCCTGCAGCTGGTTCTGAGCTGAACAGGAAAGCAAGTCCCTGGGAGTCAGCTATTAACAATTTGCTTTTGCAACTAAAGCAACGACTAATACATGCCTCCCAGGTCACCCGTGGCACACAGTGGGAACTTTGTAGGTTATTATTATTTGTTAAGTGAAAGAATAAGAGCTCTCCCCACTCTTGTTTGAGGAGACATCAGGCAGCCAGCTGAGGCTTCCAAATGCTGCTGACAGGATGGTGACACATGGGATGCAGGTGCACAGGCTGGCTGAGGCAGCACAAATCTGAATGGGAAAGAGAATTGTTATCTGAGCTTTTCACCCTCGCACTACACCGCTCCCCTGGAACAGCGAGGCATTACGGCGCGGTCCTGGGAAGGAGGATGCACAGAATTTGGGCAGCTAGTGATGGTTTCACTTCCATAATGAGTCTGTGTTCCCTGAGGGTGAAAATTCCAAATCAAGTCAAAAACCTTAAGAAAGCCAATGTCAGGGCCAAGCAGTTGGGAGCTTGGCTGATTCATTTTCCAACCCTTTTGAACTCAATCTTTAAAATCCCAAGGAAAGAAAACCCAAGGAAGTATATTTGTGTAAAAAGACGCAAATCTCACATTTCTCTTAGTCTCTTGATGCCTAGTGGTGGGAAAAGTGCACCTAGATCTGACTCTTCTGAATCAACGTGGGGACTTCCCGGTCTGAAGAGGCTCTGACCGTGCAGCACACACCAAGCACACACTTACACCTCTTAGTCCTGACAGATCAGGGATCTGGCTGTGTCTCTTGCTCTTGACCTTGGGTTTGGGTTTCTTAACTTATCTGAACCTCAGTTTCCTGATCTGCAAAATGAGGATCTTTACTGTTTTCCAATATTGACAGGAGTGCTTGCTAAACGAGCAGATTTCTGGTCCTCACTTCTTAAAGGTATAGATTCACTAGGTAACATCTAGCTGATTTTGCAGTGATTATCAGAAAAAAATTGCACACTCCTAATATGGGCATGTTTACAAATACATATCCTGTCTTGTACTGTTAAAAAATAAACATCATAAAGCAACATCAAGAGGAGGCAATAATTAAATATCAGAGATCTAATATTTTTCTTCCCATACTCCTGGGGTAGGTGAAACTTACTTTGAAAACCATTGGTGTAGAAGTTCAAGCAAACTCGCATATCTAAAATCACTTTGTAAGTAAACAAAATGGGGCTAATATTTTTAACAATACAGCATGCACATGTGTAAGAGATGTGCACTTAGAGAACGCAAGCATACTTAAAAATACCTTCGGCCACTCACCTGTGATGATGCCTGCTCACCTGTACTACCCTTGACCCTGGTTTTTAGGAGACTTCTGTATGTATTGCTTTTAGGCATTTTAGAGTAGTTAATATAAAACTAGGGTAAAGTATGACCTAGAGACCAAAGGTAGGCAAAGTATTTTATTCCTCTCCTTTATCAAAACTGCACAGTCCAAACTAAGATGGGTGAGACTATTGAGGGACAGGCTGGCTAAAATATTAGAAATCTTGCTACTTTGACCGCAAAACAATATAATGACTGTCTGTTGACATGAATCACCAACTTAAATAAATCCCAAGGCTGGGGATGTGGCTCAGTGGTAAAGCAATTGGCTAGAATACGTGAGGCCCTGTGTTTGATCTCCAGTCGGGGGGAAACTCCCAGAAAAACAAATTTCATTTTCAGGTCCTATTCATCCTTTTCTTATTCTCCAAAATATTCCTAAAGCTGTGAAGAAGTGTACCTGTAAACCTCAGACCTTACATAAGGAGGGGAGATTTTTCATGCCAAAGAGGGTTCGTGGTCTCTCTTATCAACTGATGTCCTGTCTGAGATGTCGATGCTTGAAATTAAAGGTTTAAATTGCAACCAGTCTATGAAACCATAAGATCCAGTCTAAGATTTTCATGACATTGATCATCAGCCAGAGGACAAACCAGCAAAGGCTGCTACACTGTTTAAATTAAAATCTTATCAGAAAAAAATTGATAATGGAGAACTATCTTCAAAGAAATTATTTCAAAATAATTTGCTAAGTCACACAACTCTTGGTATAGAACTCTTATTTAATGATAATGTCTGGGCACCACCAAACTCTGTTTTTTGTATCTTTATAGGTGCAAATATAGCTTAATTTATTAAAGAAAACACCATTTGCCAAACGTTT